ACTTACTGTAATCAAAATTGTATTAGAGTATATAGTCAGTTGAAAGCTTAAATTGTGTAGAATGAAATCTCATTTATCCTTTTCACAAATCCACATTCAACTCTGAAAATATGTACATGATGCTTAGATGGACTAGGGAGCCCTGGTAACATAGTGAATTTTGAGTTGGGCTGTTAATTGCAAGTTGAGCAGTTTGAATCTACCAGCTACTCCAAGAAAGAAAGATGAGACTTCTGCTCCGGTAAAGATTTACAGTCTCAGAAAACCTATGCAGGGTCTCTAAGAGTCGGAACTGACTCCACGGCATATAACTACCTCCACCATATAGATGGGTTACCAAGAAACTATCAAGGACATCCAAGAACCTAGCCCTGTTTCTTTGTCCTGAAATACACTTGCTTGAAGAACTTTCATATCTGGTGGTATAATAATGTACAAACAAGATATCTCTTTTACATTATTAAGCACAGCTATTCAAATGAAGGAATTTCTCATTGATTAGGAATATTTTAAAAAAAAATAAGTAATAAGAAGCATACTGAATAAACTCTTAAAATTAAGAAGACCAGAAAAAACTAAATCTCTCAAAGGGATTCCAGAAAATTATTTTAAGATAATTTTTAAAAATGTTTGAAGATTACATTTGCAACATGACATCTGCAAGTTATTCATGCTTCAATGTTCTGCACTTGCCTTTTTTTTATTTATTTTATTTGAGTTCCCACCAGTCATCCTAACCCTTAAGAATTTTCTTTACCAGAAGAACAAAAAGCACTTTCTCTGGGGAAAATAAAGTCACAAAATACCCAAAGAATTATTATACAATCTGCAAAATCTGCTATTGTTATTAAGTGCTGTAGAGTTGGTTTCAACTCATAGTGATCCTGTATACGGTTTCCAAGGAGTGGCTAGTGTGTTTGAACTGCCAACCTTGCAGTTAACAGTCCAGTGCTTATCCTACAGCATCACATGCGATATTAGTGCATGTGAATTACTTGCATGTGATATTAATGATATAATTCAGCTTCTTGGATTATTTGCTCAACACAGAGATTGAATAAGTATGGTCAAAGAGCACAGCCCTGGTGCACACTTTGCTGAATTTAAACCATTCAGTGTCCCCTTGTTCTGTTTGAACCACTCCCTCTTGGTCTATTACAGGTTCACATGCATACGAGACGATTAAACATACCATCACTTGGGTCAGGTGCACCTTAGTCCTCAAACTAATAACTTTGCTTTTCAACACTTTAAGAGGTCTTATGCAGCAGATTAGCCTAATGTAATAATTTGATTTCTCGACTGCTGCTTCCTTAGAATGCAATATCATCCTGTATGTTATTCTTGATTTTAGAATATTTGCTATTTAGAATCTTTGAAAAAATATGTTGAATATAATACTGATGATCTCACCTGTAAACCTTCACTAGATTCACAACAAAAAGTTAAGAAAAAAAAATGACATCTAATTTTAAAAAGTATTATTCACTGGCATTTTTTAGAAAATGGTGGTTTCCTTAAGAAAATTATCAATACATTGATTTACAAAGGCTCCATTGTAGATGAAATCTTTTAAAGAGTGTATTGTGGTAAAATATATGTAACACAAAGTGTACCATTATAACCATTTGGAAGTGTACAATTCAGTGACATTAATTCACCATACTGGACAATCCCCATGGCTATTTCCAAAAGTTTTTGATGCCACCAAGCAGAAATTCACATCCCCTACATTCAATTTCCTCCTCTCACTCATCCCTGCTCATCACTAATAAACTCTCTGTATGCACTGGCCTATTCTAGATATTTCATGCAATATTTGTCCTTTTGTGTCTGACTTATTTCACTGAGCATAATATATTTTCATGATTCATCCATGTCATAGAGCATGCATTAGAACTTCATTTATTTTTATTGTGTGCAGTATTCTAGTGCATGGATGTACCATTGTGTTTGCCCATTCATCAACTGATCATCCCTTGGGTTGTTCCCATCGTGGGCTACTGTGAACAGCACTGCAATGAACACCAGTGAAATGGATCTGTTTGAAGTCTCTATTTTCAATTCTTTAGGAGCACATAGTAATTTTATATTTAACGCTTTGTGGAACCTAGTTCAAATCTAGTTTAAGTATTTTTTTAAGGGATAAAAACTCTATATGATAAGGAGCTCTGGTAGCGTAGTGGTTATGAATCAGGCTGCTAATCTCATGGCCAGCAGTTCGAAACTATCAGCTGTTCCGCATGAGAAAGATGAGGCTTTCTGCTCCTGCAAGGATTTAGAGCCTTAAAAGCCCTATACAGGGTTGCTATAAGTCGGAACCAACTACACGGCACATAAGAAAAACAACAACGTATGATAAATATATACACCATTATCCTTAATTCTCAGCAACTAAGCAATTTGGGATACTATTAACTTTTCTAAACAAAAGAGAGTACCAAAAATAATAGGCTTTCTCACAAAAGATGATTAAGCAGAAACATAAGCAGACTAAGCAGCTATGATTAAGTAGAAAAATAAGTTAGTGCACTTTTGCATTTTTCTTCCTTTTTAGGGTTGGATACTTATATACTCACAACTTGCCTTCAGTGAACTGAAAAGCTATATCTTTCTGAGTGAAAGAAAACACACACACACACACACACATTTCCAGCTATTACTGTATTTAGAATTTGTTTTATAAGCAAATGGCAACATGAGGGAGTTTTGTTGCTCCATCCTTTTAGATGTTAATGGCTTCCTTCTGTAAATGACTAATGATATATTCTGTCTGAGTTTAAAAATAGAATTTTGCGTCACACATAAGCACATGTAACCCTGGCTTTGGCACCCCTTTCAGGGGGGCAGGGAGAAGAAGCAAGTGTGCGATTTTATCATGTTTGTATTTGACTGGGAGAAACGTAACCTCTGGATGGCCTCACTGTCCCAAAGTCTGAAATTCTAAACTCTGTACAGACGTAATCAGTAATCTCATGGGGGAAGGGTTTAAATTTTTTTTTCTTTAATTTTTTTTTTTATTTTTAGGCATGGTAAAGTTTCCCTTTCCTACTTAAGACTTTATTTGAGCAAAGAATTTCTGAACAACTTTTTAAACTAACCAGGAAAAGGCATCTGTAGCAAAACTTTGTTTCAAAGACAAGGGGTAAATGAATTCATGCAAGTTTGTTCTCTGCAGTGTTTTAGCTTCATTTTCAGTTAGGGCAACATGTAGAAGAAGGAATTTTTTTTTAATGATTAGTATAAAAATATTTACCATTTGTTAAAGTTCACAACTGTTTGGAATTAAATAGATCTTGGATCCTAAGATCCATACTATAAAACAGACAGTTGGGGTACCCCTCTGGGAAGAGAGGAGGCAGGTTGGAGGGCAGGTACAGACCCGTGTTTGTCCCCAGCTGTGCTGAGGTAACTTTTGGAAAAACTCTTGAAACTGTGGTCCAAGTGGTAATAGCGCTGTCAGTGAGAACTGCAAGGAGGCCAGGAACTGAAACACATCTTTACAATGGAAAGTATACATACTCTCTTTCATGAAAGTCATTTTAATTGGACAGAATATCAATCAACAAGGTTGCCAAATAATGGAATCTTTTGAGAAAACAAAGCACTGGCTGAGAATTTAATGATCTGGTGTTTGGAAAGAATCTGTAAATGTAAATTCGACAGTTAATCTGACAGCTGAAAATCTGGCAGGACTATTTGAGTAAATAGTCTAAATTTAGATTTTCACCCACGGTTTATTGGCTTACTGAATTAAACGTCACTGGTGTGGCGCTATGGGTTAATGTGCCAGACTGTAAAGCCATTTGAACTGCAAGGTCGGTGGTTCAAGCTCACCAGCAGCTCCTTGGAAACGCTGTACAGGGTTACTATGGGTCGGAACCGACTCGACGGCACTCAACAACAACAACAAGATATTGTGTGCTTTTTATGGCAGATACTTCTGGAGGTAGAATTTAATTCAGTGACATTGTTACTTTGTTGGAAACCTATAAGGTAAAGCCTTTATTCCAATTCGCGGAATACAAATTTTTATGAGTAATAGCTGGACATTTATAAACTCTACTTCTAGAAGAAAGAAAAAAAAGTAAAAACAAAACTAGAAAAGCCCTTATTAATTCAAAATTGATGATATATTTAGACAAGGACTAAATAATTGCTCAGTGTATAGAAATTTTAAAATAATAACTTGGTTTTTGGGTGCCACAAGTTGACTCTGACCCACAATGATCCCATGTGACAAATGAGAACTGCCCATAGGGTTTTCTTGGCTGTAACCATTACAGAAGCAGATTGCCAAAGAGCCGTTGGGTGGGTTTGAACCATTAACTTTTAGGTTACTGACATGCTATTTATTTTTATAAAATATGTCCGCTTGATTAGCTATAATCTGAAAGCATTATTGCTTGGTAATACTTTGCTCTCCTAGTGACTTTCAAATACTTGAAAATAATATTATTGAAAATAACAAATAGTTCTCTAATGTTTTCCTATTATAAATACATACTTAAAACTTTTTTCATCCTAACCTTTTCCGCAAGTCTTGTCAGTGAGTGGGAGAATGGAGGAAGTTTAATTCTGTGGGGTCAATCCAGTGTGACGTGAATCTCACTTCTGCTATATACTTGCTGGGCAAGTTAGTTCAGCTCTCTGACCCTGTTTCCTTATGTTTGAAGAATGACACGAAATCATGTATGTAATTGTCTATTGACACACTGTCAGGGTTTAACTAGTGAGCCTCCTACTGGAGACATTCACCCCTTGTCTCATGAGATACCACATTCACCTGGTTTACCATCTACATCACTGGTCAGTCAATGCCAATCCCGGGCCGTTGAGTTCTTCCATCTCCCGGCCTTCCTGTCTCTACTCACATTCACTCTCTAGGTGACTTCTTTCAATCCCATGGGTTTTGAAATCATTTATATTCCAGTGACTCCCAAATAGGTATTTCCTGTTCTTACCTCACCATTGAACTCTGAACTCATCATCTACTTGGAAGTCTAATGTTGTTGTTGTTGTTGTTATGTGCCGTGGAGTCGGAACCGACTCATAGCGACCCTGTACAGAGTTTCCGAGGGTGTAAATCTTTACGGGAGTAGAAAGCCTCATCTTTCTCCCGCGGAGCAGCTGGTAGTTTTGAACTGCTGACCTTGAGGTTCACAGCCCGAGTCGTAACCACTACGCTACCAGAGCTATAGACACTGCATATTTAATCAAATATTCGTTCTTCCCTCCCAAAACTATTCCTCTGCCGTCTTGGTTCATGGCAACTCCATCTTTTCAGATGCTTAGGTCTGAAACCTTGGCATTGACTTTACCTCTACCTTGTCTCACCCCATATATCTGATCTGTCAGGAAATCCTTTTGTTCCTACCTTCAAAAGAATCCACCATTACTTTCAACCTCCTTGTCATACCAAACCACAATGATTTCTTGCTTTCCCACATCTTGCTTTAGCATCTATAGGTTTTTCATCATAGCTCAGCCAGAGGAATCCTTTATAAGTCAGATCATGTTATTCTTCTGCTAAAAACCCTTTAATGTCTTCCTCTACTCAGAGTATAGGTCCAGAACATTACAATGGTCTGCAAGGCTCAGTGCAGATTGCTTCAATTCAATTGCTGCCCCAACCCACTGAGTGACCTCCTTGGCTTCATCGCATTTTAATCTCCCCTCAGTCAATCTTCCCTACCATACTTCTTTATAGAGGAAGAGGCATTCTCCAGTCTCAGGGCCTTTGCACTTACAATTCCCTTTGTGGTGGAACATTGTTCTTCTAGATACCTGCTCTCCTCTTCACCTTTTTCAAGTCTTTGCTTAAACATCATCTTCTTAGTAAAGCAATCCCTGACCACCTTATTTAAAATGCAAACTGCCTTTCAGGCCTCTGCTTTTCCTCACCCTGCTTCTCACCTTCTAACTTAATACATAATTTAATTTTTAATTTTATGTATTGTGTGCTTCCCTCCATCCTCCACCCTCCAAGCCAGAATAAGTTCTTGAGAACAAAGATGTTTTTGTTGCTTTGCTTACTGTAGTATCCCCAATGCTAGGCATGTATAGATATTTGCTCCAAGAATAACATGGCTAACTAAGAACTTGGTGGGCTAATGTGTCAGACTGAAAAGTCATTTGTATTGTAAAGTCAGTGGTTCAAGCTTACCAGCTGCTCCTTGGAAACCCTAACAGGGTTGCTATGGGTAGGAATTGACTTGATGGCAGTTCACAATAGTGGTAACAAGTACTAGGTAGATACTAGGTGGAGAGTAGATACTCGTAAACATTAAGTTCTTTTCTTATGGTGTTGTTTTGCATTGTTGAGTAGGTTCTGACTCATAGTGAGCCTGTATAGTGTTTCCAACAGTGGTGGGTCTGAATTGCCAGCCTTCCAGTTACCAGTACAGTGCTTATCCTATAGTGCCACACCAGGACCCTTTCTATTGGTATGGTAGTGGTGGTGGTGGTGGTTGTGTGCTGTCGGTGCCGACTCACAGCGGCCCTGTAAATCTTTCTGGGAGCACAAAGCCTCATCTTTCTCCCAAGGAGCAACTTGTAGATTTGAGCTGCTGACTGTGAGGTTAGCAGTCCAGCTCAGAATCCACTAGGCAACCAGGACTCCTTTCTATCGGTATGGTACAGATAAATTTGTTGTTGTTGTTGTTGAGTGCCATCGAGTCGGGTCCGACCCATAGCGACCCTGTATAGGGTTTCCGAGGGTGTAAATCTTTACGGGAGTAGAAAGCCTCATCTTTCTCCCACGGAGCGGCTGGTAGTTTCGAACCGCTGACCTTAAGGTTCGCAGTTCGATTCGTAACCACTACGCTACCAGAGCTCCTTACAGATATCTATATTACAGATAAATTTAGACCTTCAAAATTCTCACTAATTGGAACACACACTGTCTTTTGATCTATACTTTCTGTTAGGAATTATTTTTTGTAGTGTGATTCTTGGTGTCTGTAGCTTTCTTTAGTGCTGTCTTGGAATATCAGCAATGGACAGAACTTGAGTATCATTAGCTACTTAAGGATCTCAGTGTATTCCAGTCCATAAACCTACATGGCTGACTTCACAGAAAGAATGTCATTCAGGTGTCAGATCAAATTTCATCTCCTAAGAGGGGGTTTTTCAGCCCTTCTTAAAAATCGCTTAATTCTCCCTACTCCTCCCATGTTACCCCCACCACTCCCTAGGACTCCCATTCCCATTTCTATATGAGAAATTGGCATATATAGTTGTTGGTTTACTTATAGTCTATCATTCAAAATAAAAAAAATTAAAAAATGCAAGTTTCATAAGAGAGAATGAACTGGCCCTAAATGTCAATAGTGCTAAGGTTAGGAAATCTTGACTTAAATGTTTCAAGATTTAGGGGTCATGTTGAAGTCTGTGATCTTTTAAAACACAGCTCTTTACCTCACCCTCCAGCCCCTCTCCTGGAGCTCTATGGAAGCACATCTTTTCAGTTGTAGATTTTGCATCAACCTTGCCTTTCCCTCTAATTGCAGCAAGCTTAAGTTACCTGCTGTTCGTGGAGAACCACTTGACCTTGAAGGGGATTTCCCAGAGGTGCTGCTGTTAAAAACGGCTGCCAAATTCCACTGGCTGTTCTTGGGAAGATGTCATAAAGGTCCACGAAGGAGACATTTTCTCCAGTCATATCCATAAAGTACAAGGTAACGGGATTGCATGCAACTACACACAGAGTATTTCTCTCGTTTTCTGGGAAGAAAAAAAGGTGTTGGTTTTGTGGCTTGCAACAGGTATCCTGAAAAAGGTTCAGGGAAAATTGAATCGTGAGGTTGAACACACACATTGAAACTGAGAAGATAGTTTGTAAATGGAATGATTAGGCTGAAAAAGCCCACAAGAGGTCATTTAGTTCCTACCCTAAATGTCACTGGGGTCACATTTATCTATTCCAGGAAAATAAGTTATCTCTTTATTCCCCAAAAGAATTCCAGAACTCCACCATTAAATAATCCTCAGTCTGAAGAAATGCTTCCTTGTAAGGAAGCATTTCATTGTTGCATATGGCAATGAAGGTCTTTTCCCTTGTGTTTGTTGCTGGATCACATGGACACGAACAACACTTGGTCAACCCCTTCTATTTACTCATCTTTCATGATCTAGACAGTTATCAGATCATTAGGCTTGCCTTGTGAAGAATAAATCTAAATCCAGCCCTACAGATGTGATCTTCTAAACTTCCTAGTCATATTTGGAAACGTATTCTAAAATCTGCCTTTCAATCTGAGTCTAGGCTCATATTTTGAATCTTGTCTCAGTGCTTATTCATCTTTAAAGTGCACAGGTATCATCTGAGGATCCAATGAAAATGCAGACTGGGATTCAGTAATTCAGGAGGACTGGGGTGGAGTCTCTGAGTGCATTTCCAAGGAGCTCCCAGTAGGTGCCAATGCTGCTGCCACTTTGATGAGCAAGGCAAGGGCCCGATGACTTTTACATGTGATCACCTCACCATAAGGCTAAGGAATTGAGAGAGGCTTTTGCATCATAAATGCTGTCAGCAGCACCAAAACACCAATTTTAATGCATGTAGTTTTAGGCACACACAAAATTATATATATTATTGTTGTTGTTAAGTGCCATTGAGTTGGTTCTGACCCATAACAACCCCATGTAGGGTTTCCAAGGAGCACTTGGTGGGTTGGAACTGCTAGCCTTGTGGTTTGCAGTTAGTGCTGATCCCACAGTGTCACACCAGGATTCCAGCTATACATATTGACATTGTTAAGTGTCCTCAGGTTGGTTCCAACTCACAGCAATCCTGTGTAGGGTTTCTGAGACTTTGCAGGAGCAGAAAGCCTCACCTTTCTCCTACAAACCAAACAGCTGATAGGCTTGTGGTTCAAAGTCCAGTGTTTATCATAAAGAGTCACTGTAGATGCCTGAGATGGAGGCAGAGTAGATGACATGGAGAGATGGAGTAGCTGGGGACTTTAGACCCAGAGAGGGAGAGGGGCTGTGTGCTGAGAACTGGGGGGCAGGGATGAGGGGTGGGGACAGACAGGCTTGTAGGATATACCCCTTGGTTGGTTGATGATGCAAGGAGGGGATTGTAACCATGGCAATGAAAGATATACGATAGGACGAATGTAAAACTAATGTTCCCCCATGTAAACTATCACATAATTCACAATAAAACATTTAAAAAAAGAGTCACTGTAGTCCCCAATTATACATATACACACTTTTTTTTTTTTTGCTTGCCTGTGCTTTATTAACTATGCAAAGGCATTCAGTTGTGTGGATCATGGCAAACCACAGTTACCAGTATGAAGAATGGGTATTCCAGAACATGGCAGAGCCTGGAGAAAGTTAAGAGGAGGGTCATGCCACTATCTAGAAGGTATTCATGGTAAAAATGAGAGACGGCTCTCCGATGGTAAGAGTTCAAGGACCCATAAGGAACAGAGGAGCAGAGACATATCAAGGAGGTAGCCAGGGGCTGATCAAAGAGGTCCTGGAAGGACTTGACACCCCACAGCCCCTCAAATGTCTTTGGGCTTGATTTCCAAATGCTGCTTCTGTCCTTGCCCACTGGCTGGGTAACCAGGAGACTTCATTCTTTCCTGCAAGCCTGAGCACTCTCTGTGTGGCTTATATGGACTTAACTGAGAAGGACTACAAGGAATACATGGTTGGAGAATACATACATGTATATATCGGGTGCACAGTAGATTGAGGGTATAAGCACTGGACTGAGAACTACAAAGTTCGCAGTTCTAGCTCACCAGTCACTCCACGGAAACCAATCTGTTAGGGAAAAACCTGTATATGTGTTTTTAAAGCACGTATTTGTATTCAAAATGAACAATTTGTAGAAATAAACAATATTCAGACAACTTCTAGGAGTCCTGGTGTGGCACTGCAGGATGACGCTCTGGACTGCAAGATCAGTTTGAACCGCAAGGTCGGTGGTTCAAACCCACGAGTCGCTCCTTGAAAACCCTATACAGGGTCGCTATGGGTTGGAACTGACTCTACAGCACTTAACAAGAATAACAACTAGGAATAAAAGCCAGTGCCTGATTTTTGCCTGAACAATCCCCATTTTAGTCATGCAATATTCCACACCCCCTCCTGTTGATATCACCTTGGTAACTGACACTAACTGAGGTACTTCTGCCAAAAAGCGCCCAGGGCACCCTACATGAGTGAATCACTGGGTAGTGGCAGCAGTTCAGAGATTCACATGCCAAAAGCCCACACCCTCTATTTGCATTCTTTACAATCAGAAGTTTTAGTGACTGTGAATCACTCCAGCCCTGTAATCACCAAATGGGAATCTTAGCCAAAAAACGCAAGGTTTCTACTTTTTCTTTCCCCTTTCTATTTTTAACATTGGGTGTGTTTAACTTTTGCTACAATAGTAATGAGAAACAGACATATACATGCAAACACAGCAGTGCTTGTGTGGATTCTGCAAGAGCATTTTGCTAGGTTGTTACAGGAAATCAGTTCTAAATAACATATAATTGCAATCCAAACCAAGAAGGACAGTCCCTGTGTCTATTTTAGACTTCTGGATGTCGACAGATTATTTTAATCCCATTTTAAAAAAGAAAGAAAATCTGTGCAGGAAGGAAAAATCAAAGCATAAACTGACATACCGTGTAATGTAGCAATGTCACAGACTAAGTTAATTTCGTCCAATGGTAATTTCCAGGAGACACATTCTTCAGTAAAGGTGAGGGATCTTTCTTCATGTCTTTCTATTGGATACTCCTGTATGTTTATTAGTACTGGACCCTATAATAAAGTGATTATCTGAGTTGAAAAAATTAAGTAGTCACTAAATAGAGGTAAACTGAAGTTCTCCCAAAATACTGAATTTGAATTCAAGCATCCAATATCCTTATATATCTCTTCTCATTTTATTTTCTGGCCTGTTACTTATAACAATAACACCATAGACTTGTGTTTATAAATGCTTTCACATGTGCAATCTTATTTAATTTCCCACTTTCTGTTCTTCTTATTCACAAAAATATACCAGATGTAAAATCCCATTACTTCATTTCTTCCTGAATCAAATGCTAGTTTTGAACTCCAAGTACCAGGATGAAGAGTTATCCAAACCAGGAGAATAATTTATAAAAAACATGAACCAGGGCCTGATAGATTTCACTGCGATGGATGATTATTTCCAGGCTTTAATAAGACTCAGAAGCATGAATTATTATATAGAAATGTAATGGGTGAAGCTGAGTCTTTGAAAATAATATAGAAAACGTACCATCTGAATTTTTAAAAACAATTACTGATAATCATTAGTGCTGCTTATGAAAGGAGTCCTGGTGTGGAGCTGCGGATTAATGCACTGGACTGAAAGGTTGATTTGAATAGCCAGGTTGGTGGTGACAAGCTCACTAGCCACTCCACAGAAACCCTAAATGGGGTCACTGAGTCAGAACCAACTCGATGATACTTAACAACAACAAGAAAGATAAAGTATTTCACACATGATGATAACTGTTCAATATAAACAAAAGCTATGAACATTCCTAGAAGAACAACATAGATTTTACTGAATTCCAATGAAGGTCAGTGGTTCAAGCTCACCAGCTGCTCCTCGGAAACCCTATACAGGGTCGCTATGGGTCGTAACCGATTCGACGGCACTTCACAACAACAACAACAACAACATAGGACAGAGTAGAGCCACCCCATAAGGTGTCCAAGACTGTAAATCTTTACAGAAACAAGCTATTATATCCTTTTCCTGTGGAGTGGCTGGTAGGTTCAAAACACCTTTCAGTGCACAACCAAGTGCTGAATCACTGCACTACCAGGGTTCTTTGCAAGTTCTACAATCCCTAATTAATTTAAAATGTTGGGGCTAAATATAGACGATGATGGCATCTATTGCTTTCCCTTTTGTAATGTATCGAATTGTGTCCGACAAAAATGTTGTCAGTTCTGATTCATAGTGACCCTGCATAGGGTTTCTAAGGAGCGGCTGATGGGTTGAGTTCATTGACTTTGCAGTTAGCAGTCTAGTACTTAGCCTATAGCGCCACACCAAGACTCTATTCCTGTACATTCTAGCTCTATTCCTGTGGCTGGAGTCCTGGTGTGGCATTGTAGGATAAGCACTGGACTGCTAATCACAAGGTCGGTGGTTCAAACCCACCAGTTGCTTCTTGGAAAGCTTATACAGAGTCAGTATGAGTCAGAACTGACTAGATAGCACTTAACTATAACAAACAAAAATTTCCTGTGGTTGTAATTCCACTTGGGAAAAGGTTGTGTTGTGTTAATAAAGCATGATTAGTGTAGGGTATATTTTGAGATGTAAAAGAGATTAAACAAGCAAGAGAAGCAGAGATGGGGGAAGACTAATGCCAAGAGAGTTCTCCAAGGAACTAGGAAGTTCTCCAAGAACTTCCGCCAGAGCTGACAAAGACAGAAAGGCTTCCCCTATATATATATAGCTGGCATCTTGATTTTGAACTTCTAGCTTCTTAAACAGTGAGAAACTAAATTTGTTTGTTGAAACCACCCATTTGTGGGTAATGAAGAGACCATTCTAACTACAGTATATCTCAGAGGCTGAGAGACTGAATTCTTCTGTTTCATTGCAGCAAAGCTTCGGGAAGTGATTTAGGTTCTGTCAATGAATTTGCATGAGATGTAGAAGGCAGAGTATGGCTAATGGCCTGCTGCTGCAGACAAGATGTTCTGACAAATTCCATCAGTCATACTTTATGTTAACTGAAGAGGTTGACAAACTATGGTCTATGGATCATATCAGGTCCTCCACCTATGTTTGCCAATCAAGTTTTACTGGAACGTGGCCACCATCCTTGGTTTATGCATTGTCTGCGATTTCTTTTGTGCTCTGATGCCAGCATTGAATAGTTGCAGCAGTGTGCATATAACCACAAAGCCTAAAGTATCTACTATCTGGCTTCTTTCAGAAAGTGTGCCAACCCTGCTCTTCAAGTAGCATAGGCAATAGTATTGATCTTTGAAACTAAAAGTCTAGTGTGGCCCTCTGACTTCTGCCTCTGCTGCCCTTTCTAACTTTGTTGTTGTTTGTTGTTATGTGCCGTGGAGTCAATTCCAACTCATAGCAACCCTGTACAGAGTTTCCGAGGCTGTAAATCTTTACGGGAGCAGAAAGTCTCATCTTTCTGGCACGGAATGGCTGGTAGTTTCGAACTGCCAACCTTGAGGTTCTCAGCCCGATTCGTAACCACTATGCTACCAGAGCTCCTTTTTCTAACTTTACAAGCACCTAATTTCAACTTCATAAGCACTGAATTTTCTACATTTGGGACAAAGATGAGGCTTTCTTCAAAAGATTTAGGCTTCGGAAATGCTATACAGCGTCACCATGAGTTGAAACAGACTCCATGGCACTTAACAACAATAATTTCCCACATTAAATTCCTGTCTGCTTGATTTCTGTTGCAACTAGTGGCTGATGCTTTTTTAAATTTCACATAAAGATAGAGCCTAGCAACAATGTTGGGCTAAAGAGAGGCTGGAAATTCAAAGAACGCAACACTTACTCTTACTAGCAACCATCGATTCCAATTCATAGCAACCCTACCCAGGGTTTCTCAGGCTGCAAATCTCTATGGAGGCAGACAGCCTCAACTTTCTCTTGAGGAATGGCTGGTAGGTTTGAACTGAAGCACTATACCTAACTCTCAGAGCCACCAGGACTCCTTAGAAGCCACCTACAATGAAGGCAAGTATCATGGATTAACCATCCTAGGACAATATACAACCTACCTGACTCTCCTGAATTACAGATTAATTCTTAGAATTTCTAGCTGGCCATTAGGAATTGTCTACGTTGAGTCCCTGAGAAGCTGGCTTGAAAGAGCAGAACTGAAATATTTCTTACATAACATCACAAGAAGTCATTTCTGAGATTGTATAGATATTGCTAGTGAAGATACAGAGCATATGTTTAACATTTAATGAGGAAGTAATAAAGATGTCAACCTTTATATCTATACGATGAGTTTCTGCTGGACACAGAAGTTTTTGCGTTCCATTTCTTGACTGACCAATTGTCCAATAGCCCATGAACGTCTGCTCTGGCAGAGGCAACCTGTCAGGGATGATTGAAAAATAAACATTTCTTCTTATTTATAAGACATAGGAAAGAACAATGAACAATCTATTATCAACCACATGGATACCTTTGAAAAATATTCTACTTAGGAAATGAGTTATGCGTGATTTTATTAAGAGACTTGGAAGCAGCCACACACACCAATGTTCGGCACAGCACAGTCAGTTCACAGTCCTGGGTTAATGGATGTCTGATTCATGGACAACTCCTACTTGCCCTTTAAACTAGCTCTGCCTTGGCTGACGAAGCACAATAGGAACAAACCCAAGTGTTATTATTCGGCAGATTCAGCGAGATATCTGCAACGGAAGATTACTGATTAAAGTCCTGGATTGGGGAACTTGTAAGAAACACAGTAAGTCCTTTCAGGAGCCTACTGTGAGATGCTGAATTATTGATGGGACTGTAGGAGAACAACACACACTCAAGTGGTGCGGTTTTGGACTGTACTCAAAATCTGAGAGCAGAGATTTGGTTGCTATGCAATGCACTGGCTGAACTACTATAAGAGGGAGATTAAGTTTTTAGCAAGGCGTTGACCCGTAATTTTTCCCATTCCTGCCATCTTTCTGATTCACCAGAACTTTAAAAATTTGAGTCTGTTCTAGTGAGTCTATTCCAGTCTGCTTCTTTGGTCACGACTGAACGAGATTGAACTGATTAGAAACCCTGACAAATCCTTAAAGACACAGTTAGGAATGGATCTCATTTGAAAGCCTGGGACTGCCTGAAGCCTAAAGGTTGAGACCACATCAATGTCCACCAATAGATAAATTGATAGACAAATTGGGGCACATGCATACAATGGACTTTTACTTAGCCACAAAGAGAATTGAAGTCTGACACATACACATCGAAAGCATTATGTTGCATGAATAAGTCGATCACAACAGGACAAATCTTTTATGTTCTTACATAAAAAACCAATAGTGGCTACCAGAGGCAAGAGGGAGGGGAAAGCTGAGTCACTGTTTAGGAAGCACTGAGTTTCTGTTGATGGAAAATTTGTCAAAGCGCACTGGTGATGGTTGCACAACATGATTGCCGTAACTGCTTTCACTGAATTATACACATGAAAATTACTGAAGTAGCAAATGCTGTGCTATACGAGGGCACTTCAAAATGGAAAAATGGAATTAAAAGATAGTAGAATTTTCCCACAAACTTTTTGAAACCCCTTTGTATGTATTTTTATAATTTAAAAAACAGAAAAGACAGTGTTCACAGTATAAGGGTAAGTAAAAAAATATTGCCACAAAATCACAGAAACCTTTATTAAACAAAACTATCAAAATGCGAAGCTATGGTTTCTCAACATATCCTGGATCTAAATCTATACATTAGAAGGTGGTATTTGCTTTATTTAAGTGTTAAGTCCTGGTGTGGGGCTGTGGGTTAATGCAATGGACTATAAGGTCGGTTTGAACAGCAAAGCCAGTGGTTCAAACTCACCAGCCGCTCCTTGGAAACCCTATACAGGGTTGTTATGAGTCAGAACCAACCCAATGGCACTTAACAACAACTCTTCTCTGAAGAATTCTGTGCTTTTCTACTTGCTGTTATTGCATAGGATTTCTGAGGAGCATCTGGTGAATTTGAACTGCCAATCTTGTGGTTCGGCGTCCAGCACTGACCCCACAACACCGTAACAGGGATCCGCCTTTCTATTTACATCAGGTTAAAATGGCAGTTTGAGCATTCTCAAGGACTCAAGTCATGCTCTTTATCAATGTTCCTTGAATTTGGGGAACAGAAAGAAGTCTGGAGTGGCAAGACCAAGGATGTAGGCTGGATGATGTAAGCTTTCCCAAACAAATTCTCAAAGGACAGTCCTTGCTATCCTCAGAGAATGAGCAGGTACACTGTGGTGATGAGAAAAAATTCCTTGGTGCAAATTCCCAGTCTGTTTTCTCACCAATGTAGTTTTTAATTTTCTGAAAACTTCTTCCTAATAAGTCCCATGATCACCCTGTGTCCTCTCAGAAAATCTATCATGTTGACCTTTCTGCTTTGCATTTAACTGATCTAGCAGATCCCCTTAGAAGCAACTGTTCTGATTGGACCTTTTGTTTGAAGGTACCTTGAAGAGGCTAAGACAAGTGTATTCCTGAGAAAACTTGTCTGTAGCCATCCACTGATTGCAGAGATATGTTTAAACATGTTTTGTTTGGAATAAACCCATACGTGTATGAACTGGAACTCTACTAACAATACTTTTTGACGTATCCTCATATACTTTTTATAAAAAAGTTCACATATTAGAAACTTCAAAGGTAAGGTCTCATTCTATTTTTATCTTAATAGCAAGAATAATTAAGACTACTTTTAAATCAAACTATCTTTTCTTTGAACCTTTTTTTTTTTAAGTAACTATTGATTTGTCATTTAATGCACATTTCTTATTTCATGATAAATTAAGGTACACTATGACTCCTGGTGTGGCACTATAGGATTAGCACTGGACTTCAAATGACAAGGTTGGCAATTCAAACCCACCAGCTACTCCTCAGAAACCTTATACAGGGTCACTATGAGTCAGAACTGACTCAACAGCACTTAATAAAGCTTAGAAATTCTTTTAAAATGTACATGTAGATATAAATTAAAATGAATGCTTAGAATGAATTAGATGATCATTAAAACTGTATGTGTTTATACTTAGAAATCACTTTATTTTCAGTAAAAGAATGATATGATACAATATTTCCATATCCTTAATAAGACCGTATTTAACTTAAGGATTTGGGAAGCATAAAATGGATCTAAACATTCTGGTGAAGCATACTTTTTGTCTTTTTGAAATGTTAATGGTTAATAACTACATCTGCAGAAAGAGAAGATGAAAAAGCTCCATATCATTAGTGAAAACAAGGCCAGGGGCAGACTGTGGAACAGACCATCAATTACTCACATGCAAATTCAAACTGAAGCTGAAGAAAATGAAAACAAGTCCACGAGATGCAAAATATGACGTTGATTATATCTCACCTGAATTATAGATCATCTGAAGAACAGACTTGATACATTAAACACTAAAGACCAAAGACCAGAAGAGTTGTGGGATGACATCAAGAACATCATACATAAAGAAAGCAAAAAGTCATTGAGAAGACAAGAAAGAAGGAAAGGTCAAAATGGATGTCAGAAGAGACACTGAAACTTACTCTCCAGTGTAGAGATGCTAAAGCAAATGGAAGAAATGAGGAGGTCCAAGAGCTGAACAAAAAATTTCAAAGTTCAGCTCGAGAAGATAAAGCCAAATATTACAATAAAATGTGCAAAGATATGGAATCAGAAACCAAAAAAGGAAGAACACACTCAGCATTTCTCAAGCTGAGTGAACTGAAGAAAAAATTCAAGCTTCGACTTTCGTTATTGAAAGATTCTCTGGGCAAATTATTGAATGATGCAGAATGCATCAAGAGAAGATGGAAGGAATACACAAGAGTCACTGTACCAAAAGGAAATGGTTAATCTTCAACCATTTCAAGAGGTAGCATATGATCAAGAGCCAATGATACTTAGGGAGGAAGTCCAAGGTGCCATCAATGGAAGAATGGATAAACAAATTTTAGTACATACACACAATGGAATATTATGCTACCCTGAAGAATAGCAAGGAAGCAACAAGCCACCGCATAACATGCATGAGCCTTGAGGACATTAAACTGAGTGAAATCAGTTAGTCACAAAAGGAGAAATACGGCATAGGATCATTACTGTAAAAGACTAAAAAAAAGTACCCACACTGAAAGGGGGAAGAAAAAAAAAAATTTTTTTTTAAATTTATTTTATTTATTTATTTTTGTTGGTTACCGGGTGTATGGGGTGGGGTGAAGGGAGGGAGGGGAGGGTAGAGCACAAGGTAGGGAATAGACACAGGATGCTGGTGGGGGGGCAGATTTACGTGGGCTAAATAAGACAGAGGTAAATAACAATGTAAGCACAACCATGGAAAAACAGGGCTCGTGGATACAAAGATTGAGGCATGGTGTGAATGGGTAAAAGTGAGGAAATGATGTTAAGAGGCTTGGCTTTCTTTTGAATCTTGGTTTCCTTTGCCTACTATTGTAAAATAGACACTTGAAGCGGGGAGAGAGGAATAGCCCGAATCATCACCAGAGAAAGCTTTGTAAATCCATCTTCAGCCTATAACTGATTGGAATACCTAAAATGGGGCTAGAAGTTGTCCAGTGAAGGAGGCTTCCTGTGGAGCCTTTGCATTGCACAAGACCATAGGTGGAATCCTGATCCCCATCCAGAATTTACTAAGGTGGGAAATTTCCACTTGAAAGGACAAGCAGACCAGTCTAGAGTAGTTAGAAGAGCAGAAGATAACTTCTTGAAAGAAAGACCAGCAGGAAAAATAAAAAACAATAGCAGCAGTCCAATTGACGACTACAAGAACAAGTAAGTTGTTCCCCAGGGAACCATCAAGGCAAGTGATCAGATCTCCTTAAGGCAAACCCCCTTCCAAGATTGAAACTCAATTGGAATACACTAGCAGGCACATGGTCTTGCTGTAGATCACATTGGTCACCGGTAAGGGGAAATGGGGGAAAAACAGCAATGAAGTTGTGAACTAAGTCCAACCACATTCTATAGACTCCTGTTAACCTGGATTGAGACCTGGTTAACCAGCAGTATGAGGAGACCTGGGGATTCCTGGGCCCAGGGGCAGGGACATGGCCCCAGAAGACTAGAATGGAGTGTGAAGCAGCCAGCTAATATGAAATGAGGGGAGATACACAAGAACACCCACACTTGCAGATAGTACCCATTTGACCTGGCATCAATGGCTGGATGATCAGAACACGACTAGAGGAAGACAGAAGAAGAACAACAACAAAAAAAGAAATTAAAAAAGAAAGAACAACCCATTACAAGTAGATGAACTTGACCTATGCTTATGGATACAGTATGACAAAGGAGCAGACAAATCTCTATTCCCATCCCCTTGGTACACAGGGTTCACA